GGGGGCTGGGTGTGTGTCGGGGGGAGCTTTGGGGGGCTGGGTGTGTGTCTGGGGGGGAGTGTCGGGAGGGAGTGTCGGGGGGCTGGGTGTGTGTCTGGGGGGGGAGTTTTGGGGGTCCGGGTGTGTGTCAGAAGGGAGTGTCAGGAGAGAGTGTTGGGGGGCTGGGTGTGTGTCTGGGGGGGAGTGTCAGGAGGGAGTGTCGGGGGGCTGGGTGTGTGTCCTGGGGGGGAGTTTTGGGGGCCGGGTGTGTGTCTGGGGGGGGAGTTTTGGGGGTCCGGCTGTTTGTTGGGGGAGCTCTCCTGGCCCTGGGCACACAGGGCAGTCGGGCTCCGTGGCTGCCCAGCTAGTTCCCCTCACCTGCCAGGCGCCCCAAGCCCCCATTCCCCAGCCCAGCATCCTCCTCGATCTCCTGCAGCTCCTCCATGTCCAGGCCCAGCTGTGGGGGGAGGAAAAAGGGGGCGTTAGGGAAGAGTAGCCGGTCCCCTCTCATCCACGCCATCCCCTCCCCCCACCCCCCCATCACTGCCTCTCCCTGCTCCACCCCCTCTCCTCCCTGATCCCCCTACCTCCCCCACCTGCCCCCGGCCGGCCGGCGCTGGGGTACCTGGTAGGTGGCCTCGTCGCAGGCATTCTGCAGCCCCAGGTTCACCATGGTGTTCTGCAGGGTGCGGCCCATGTAGAACTCCAGCGACAGGTAATAAATGCGCTGCAGAGAGAGGGGGCAGAGACGGGGCGGGGGAGGGTTGGGGAGCCCGTCAGCTCCACCCCCAGGAAACAGGCCCCATGCCCGGTTCCCTGGCCCACTAAGTACACTAGTTGCCCCACCCTGGGGCTGGACTGGAGTCAGCGTCCCCTAGAGGAGAAACACTCCATATCCCATTTACCACCCTACTTGGGCAGGACACTCTATGGGGGGCAGAGGGGGGCAGGTGGGTGTGTGTGCGTGTGACTGGCTGCTGGGGCCCATAGATCAAGCCCCTGCTGCTGAATACAACAGGCCATTCAAAGGCACTCATTGCCAAGCTAACCTTTGGGGGAGGGAGGGCGGGCACCCATCTCGGGTATGCAGCCGCTGCCCCTATCCAGTGTCCCAGCCCCCCCTGCACCAGTCCCCCACCCCACAGGCTGACACAGGCTCTTTCCCAGATTAAATGGCAAAAGTCAACAGCAAATGTCAGGCTGGGCTAAATTTAACCAGACTGTGCCCCATCCCAGGACGCTGAGATAGGATCAGAACCAGGGGTCTTGAGAGCTGGGATTCCTCCCCCACCCCCCACTACCTGTCACTTCTGGTGAGAGGCCCTGTGTACCACTGCCTGCTCCCCAAGCCAGCCAGTCCCCCTGCCCTGGTGCTGGATCACAGCCAGCACGCCCTAGAGGGGAAAGGTCCCGTGTCCCATTCCTGCCACCTGAGCCAGCCAGTCCCCCTGCCCTGGTGCTGGATCACAGCTAGCGCCCCCTAGAGGGGAAAGACCCTGTTTCCCATCGCCTGCTTCCTTCATCCTTCAAACATGTTCCCCCCAAACCTACTGCCCTCTAATCCTAAACCTCTCCCCCAATCCTAGCTCCCCCCTTGCAGGTCCCCCTATCTCCCAGCATGCCGGGCGGCACCACTAACTCTTCATATCTGCCCATACTGGCTCAAATGTCCAGCCACTGCTACCTTTGTGTCCGTCCCCACCCTCCCCGAACAGGAAGGGGATTAATGACCTGCAATCCCCTCATACTGCCCCATCCCCCACTGTGATTCTCCAGCCCAGGTGCTCAGCCCCCAGTGCGGGTCTCTGAGAGGCAGTTTGTGCTGACTCCTTGACTCACACACACCCAGGACTTGGGGGCTAGCCAGGCATTGGGGGAGGGGTGAATCACGGTCAAGGCGCTCTCAGAGAGGCGTGGGGGCCTGGGGAGGGAAAGAACGAGGGGCGATGGGACAGGAGGACACTGTGGAAGAGCAGCCGAGATAAATGGGGGACAGAAAACCTGGGGGGGGAGCAACGAGCAAAGGGCTTAAGGGTGATGTGGGGGAAGAGGGGAAGGCCAGGAGCAGCAGAGGGAGTGGGGGAAGGGCAGGAGCAGATGTGGCTGGGGGAGGGCATGTGGGTCTGGGGTCCCACCTGGGTCTCTGGAGGAACCGCCCCATTACGCCCTCCCTCTGCCAACTTCTGGGGGGGACCAGGCTCAGATGGTGACCCATCCCTGCCCCAAGGAAGGAAGACTACTGGCTCTGCTCAGTTCCCACTGACCCCCACAACTAGCCAGGGGTGCTGTCCTGTGAACCACCAGGCATTGGGCCGCATGGGCCTGAGGGGAGCCAGGGAAGGAGAGTACTGGTCTGGATGGGCCTGTGGGTCTGATCCGAAGCCCTTCAGCGCCAATAGCCCAGGCCTTTACTCCCTGAGCTGAAGGGTCTGGGGCAGCTGGTGGCAACAGTCCAGCTGGTATTTATACCCTCTGTGCAGCACACGCCAAGCTGGCCTGGCACTGGAGTCTGGCTCCCAGGTGTCAGCAGAAGGCTAGACTTCATATGGCTCACATATGGGAGGGGGGTTTTGGTTTGTGAGCCATCCACTGCCCACGTCCCCACTGCCCTAGAACAAGGGGCCTGTCCAACAGCCAGACACCCCTGGCCCCGCTATTCCCAGCAGCAGCTCTGACCTGCCCTGGTAGCCCCTCCGCTGTCTGCTCCCCCCTGCCCCAGACATGCCCTGTCCCAACGTCCCTCAACTTTGTCCCCTTCCCTGCCTTTCTGCCCTTTTCCTGGTGGTGCCACTGGCTGCAGACCCTGCTCGGGTGCCCCCCTGCTTCCGACCCTTCTGGCACTTCTCCCGCCTAATCCTTTGCCCCTCGCATTCCCTGCCCCTTGGAATCTCTCACATAGCGCTGCTGCTGTGCCCAGATCCTTCTCCTGGTTGGGGCTCCCTGGCAGCCCCTCCCCAGTGCCCTTCCCCTGGCTCAGCTGTTGGGTGTTATCCCTCCCTGCCCCTGGGTGCCCCTGAGCACTCCCACCTCCCCAACACACAGCCAGCCGGTACCCCCTCTCCAGAGTACCCCAGTGCACTCTCCCCTAGCCCTGCACACACACACCCGGCACCCCCTCTCCACTGCGCCCATGGGCATCCCTCCATTCCGCCGTACCCCTTTTCAGGGCGCCCTTCTCCAACGCGCCCCCGTGCGCTCACCTTGGGGTCCTTCTCGTAGTAGTACTGCTGGGTGCGGATCCACCTGCCCACCAGGTGGTCGCGCACCGTGTGCGCCAGGGCGAAGTAGTAGTCGCGGGGGGTGGCCACGTTCCGATCCTTCACCAGCGTGAAGTGCAGATGCCGGTTGAAGTTCTTCTTGAGGTCGGAGACATTCTCCACCCCGGCGAGGCCCCGCACGCTAATCTGCTTCCTTTTCTCATAATCCGACAGCGGCAGAGACATCCTGCAGCCTCCGGCAGGGCCCTGGCTAGTCTGTGCACACAGCGGGGGCTTTCACGCGGGGCGACACAGGCCCTGGCACTGCGGCACCAGGGAGCCGGGCGAGCAGGAGCTGCCAGGAGGGACACCAAGGAGCCTGGATCTCTGCTCTGCCCAGCCCGCTCGCTGCAGCAATGCATCCTAAGCCCCTCCCCTCATGTATTATTAACCTAACCAGATTGGTGCATTATTCATGAGCCCCTCCTCCAGGCCGGGAGGGAGCGGGGGAGGCCCTCGCCCCGCCTCCTAGCTCATGAGGCTCCTCCCCTTGGCTTATCAATTATTCCTCTGATCCCGCCCACACCTCTCTGGGAATCCCCCTTCCCTGGGGGCCCTCTTGGCTGAAGAGTTGTAGAGGTGAAAACAACAGAGGGCAGAGCCCATGCTAGGCATAAGCAGACTAAGCAATCGCTTAGGGCCCTGAGCAGCTTGAGGGGCCCCTATTAATTATTAGTATGTGGGGAAGGAGGGAGGAGAGAAGATAAATGTTCCTTCCTTTGGCCCCCGATTGGGCTAGCACCGGCACTGACAGAAGGGGTTAATCACAACAGTGGGAAGTGCTGGTAAAGGGCTCCTGCTATTGTCCTTACACGGACTAATAAAGTATTAAGCAGTGCTTTAACTAATCTCTCCAGCCCCAGACTCACTCTCTATATCCATCCCCATACTCACCCTCTAGCCATCTAACCTTCCCTCCCAGAACAGGACTTGCTAGCTACATATATAAGCCTCTATGTATTCATCGCCATACACAACCTCAATCTATCCCCTTACATGCATATCTATCTCTCCATCCCTCACCCCGTTAGCATCTGAGCGTATGCTACACGGCATTGTAAACCTGGCTTTGTGGAGCCGCTGTTTCCAACCCTGCACATGAGCAGCCATACTGCAAAATTACAGGGCTTGGACCGGAGTCACAGCAGAATTTGGGTTCTGACCCACCTCCGAGCAGGCCCACAACCCAGGTTCTGATTGGTTGGTGACCAAAATCTGACTGATTTATGCATAGACAGAAGGGGGCCTTCGGTTCAAACCTCAGCCCACGCTCAGGCTTAGTGTGCAGTGGCAACATACATACTCTCAGAGTCACTTTGCTCTTGGTGGCTGGCATATTAATTTTTACTGTTGTGTAATGATTTTCAAATTAATTAGCAGCCAAGACAATGAAAATTAGTGGGTAAGAACGACAGAGTAATTCAGTTAGCAATGGAACAGCAAGAAGGCAGGCTGAGAATGTTATGGAGAAATTAGAATAATAATAGAAGGGAATGAATGGAAAGAATCATAAAGCAATAAGATGTAATTAGACTAGGATGCAATTAGATTAAGGATGGAGTCAAATAAATGATAGAGGAAGAATTCCACGTAGTCAAAGCACTGGCAATCTCAAAACATTTTGTGTCCTAGACACTCAGACAATAGGGGCTGACTTGATGTTTTTCTCAATGTATAACTGTATTATTAATCTATTTGTTGTTGGCTCTAGTTTTTTTTTTATAAATGGCTTGACTGGGGGGACTTTGTTCCAATGGTTACAGAAGGAGGGGACTAAGCGCCAGGACTACTGGTTCTATTCCCAGCTCTGGAAGGGGAGTGGGGTCTAGTGGGTTAGAGCAGAGAATGCTGGGAAGCAGGATGCCTGGGTTCTCTCCCTGGCCTACCAAGTACACCCTGCATGACCCTGCACTTCCCTTCTCTATGCCCTAGTTTTCCTATTGACAAAGTGTTCAAACCCCAGGAAAGGGCCCCCACACCCCGTGTGCCGAGTACATATTGTCTCCATTTCACAGCACCATGCACACAAACTCCTGACACTGGGGGCAGGAGGAGATTACAGGATGGGTGCCTGCCTGGTCACTTAGGGTATGTCTACACTGCTGCAGGCAGCAACCAGCCCAGCCTGGACCAACAGGCTTGTGCTAGTGCACAGAAAATAGCCACGTGGACATTGCAGCTTGGGCAGCAGATCGGGCTGCTGGGCCCCACTGGATCAGAGCTCAGGTGGCTAGCGCAACTCTCCGCTGCAGCTGCAATGGCCACCTTGCTATTTTTAGTGTGTGAGCTTGACCTCCACTGTTGCGAGTCTGGCTGGCTGGGCTGCTTGGTTCCTGCTGCAGGGGACCCAGGCCCTTAGACAGGACAGTATCCCACTGTCGGGATTACAACACGACACTGGCAGCCCAGCGTGCACTTGGCACACACGATTGCATACTTAAATGACTGCAAACTCAAGAGTCCACCTGTACTCCCATTCCCGATCCAGCCAGGGCCCTGCCTTGGACCTGCAACAGAGCCAGTGACCCATAGAAGGGAAAGACCCCATATCCCATTCCCTGCCCCGCACTGAGCCAATCAATATCTACCTTGGGGCCGTATGGGAATCAGCATCCCCTAGCGGGGAAAGGCCCCATATTCCATTTCCCCCCTCCCCTTGCCCCAAGCCAGCCAGTCCCCCAGCCCAGGGCCTGGATTAGAACCATTGCCCAAGAATTGAAAGGGCCCAGATTCCCTTCTCTGTGCACCCCTCCCCCTCATGAATAATCAATTGAGCAAAACCCCTCCCCTGAAGAGCTGAGTTATGAAAAGAGCGGTGTGCTAACCTTGTGCTATTTTTTCCCCTCACCCCTAAGAAGGGATCAGGCAAGGGAGGATTGCCCTGTCATATTCATTTCTATTTCTGGCATGCAGTTCATGGGCCTCAACTCTCAGATCCTTATTCTGTGTGCGCACAAAGCTGTGCGCAAATGTGAGTACTGTGTGTTTGTGCATCCATGAGTGTGTCTGTGCATGCATGAGTGTGAGGCTATGTGTGTCAGTGTGCGTGCCCACATTTGTAAGGAGTGTGGGTGAGCTTCCCACACCATATTACTGGGGAGTTGGGTTTTTTTTGAACAGATGGTACTGCAATCCTGTCCCCCCTGCATTGAGAAGAGGAAGACGGGAGATCAAGGTCTTTCTTTACTACTGGTCCCCCTTTTGATATTCCCCTTTTCCAAGGTTACCAGTATTTTTTCTCAGCCAGAATCAAGTTCCTCCTTCATAATACTGCAGTATGGCTGAGACTTCACTTCAAACTATTATGGCAAAAGCTAAGGGTGTGTGTGTGTATATTATATACACCTCTACCTCGATATAACGCTGTCCTCGGGAGCCAAAAAATCTTACCGCGTTATAGGTGAAACCGCATTATATCGAACTTGCTTTGATCCGCTGGAGTGCGCAGCCCCGCCCGCCCGGAGCACTGCTTTACCACGTTATATCAGAATTCGTGTTATATCGGGTCGCGTTATATTGGGGTAGAGGTGTATATGTAAACCAGTATAGCTATCACAGCAAACCTTCCTAGTGGAGACGTAGCTTCTACCAGCAAATGAGTGCTTTGGCGGGTCGAGCTGAGGCTAGCTCCCTGAGTGAAATAAGGCTCTACCAGCACAGGCACTCTTTTGCCAGTGTCGCTGCTTCTACACTAGGGCTTTTGCCAATATAGCAATGTCACTTAAAAAAAAAAAAACACCCTTGTCTGAAACATTGCTAGCGAGGCCGGGCTTCAGTATCAGCCCCGCAGGTTCAATGCAGGCACCCAGCCCCATTCTAGCTACTACATACCATTACCTATCAGGGCTTCTAATAGAACCCAGGAGTCCTGAATCTCAGCCCCTCCCTACTCTAACCAACTAGACCCCCCCTCCCCGAGCCAGGGATCGAAGCCAGGGCCAGGGAACATTTGTAAGCAGCTCTCAGCACCTTGGCACTAGAGTTGCTGAATGACAATATTTCCTCAACCTCCTTCCCAGCTGGCACCTCCCCATGTGCCTCCCGCAGGTCTTCTCCCAGCCCATGCACAGAGCTGCACTGCAGCTCCGCACTAGCTGAGCACGCAAAGGCGGGTGAATGATTGGCACAGAAAGGGGGTGGGACAGGCAGGCAGAGTGTGTGTATGGGGGGAGAGAGAGAGGGAGCCGTGCAAATCTCTGTCCTGGCAGGCTAGGCAAGGACTACAACTCCCAGCATGCTCTGCACTGGGCAGGCCCCTGCCGACGCGAGCGAGCGGCTGCGGGGAACATGCCGCAGTGCGCGTGTGACGCTGCAGCAGCTGGGTCGGTAACTTGACCCGTGTCAAGGTCATGGCAGTAAAGTCCTTGATGGGCTGTCACAGGCGGACAGCGTCACGTGCTTATCTGAGCTACTCACCCCACCACCTAATGTACCTCCTCACACCCCCTTCACCCCATCAGCTAATGTACCCCTCTCACCCCCACCCTCACCCACATATCCCATCAGCTAATGTACCCCCTCACCCCCCTTCACCTCATCAGCTAATGTACCCCCTCACCCCCACCTCCACCCACGCACCACATCAGCTAATGTACCCCCTCATCCCCCACCTTCACCCACATACCCCATCAGCTAATGTATCCCCTCACCCCCCACCCTCACCCACATACCCCATCAGCTAATCTACCCCCTCACCCTCCACCCATGCACCCCATCAGCTAATTACCCCCCCACGCACCCCCCCCCACATCCCATCAGCTAATCTACCCCCCCACTCATGCACTCACCCCCACCCACACACCCCATCAACTAATTTACCTACCCCCATGCACCCCCTACCCATCCCCATACACCCCATCATCTAATCTGCCCATCCCCAAACAGCCGTCAACTAATCTACCCGTCCCCATACATCCACCATCAACTAATCTACCCATCCTCACACACACCATTATTGTATCTGTCTGTTTCTCAGAAAAACTGAGGAACCATCTCCTGCACCTTACATACTGCAAAGGAGACCAGCTCAAACAAGAAATCATCAGGTGCTCCCATGATCAGGAAACCTACCTGGAGATCATGCAGGAAACCAAAAGCATCTATCTAAAAAAACTTGATGAGAGCCATCCAACAGCACAAACAAAAAGTGAAACCTACTGCAACAACCAACAGACAACCACCTGTGAGTGAAACCATGACACCAGCACCCAGCACATGGACACAACACCCCAATATTATCAACTTATCAAGACTACCCCCACCTGAACTGAAATACAGTATCTGTACTCTCCAAGGGACTGAACTTCTGCCCACCATCGAACCTGAACCCGTACTAACTATAAG